TACAAATCGTATTACATACAGTTGAATTTATGTACACTATAAGATACCCACAACGAAGACATTTATATGATCTACTATACATGTCAAACTCACATAGTTACGTCCGTCATCTGACTACGTAATGTATAACACACACATGAGGTATAATAATTTAATTTAGGCATTTTTATGCATGCATGCACACATGTAGAAGACAATAAATTTAGTAACTATATATAACATATATATATATATGTACTGACCAGAAGGAGAGAGGAGAAGGAAGCAGAGATATATTAGTATACGAGATTTTACAAAAAAAGTTCTTCATATCTTTATATTCATAGGCGAAGAACAAATATTCCTTTTTTTTTTTTTTTTTTTGAAGTTACTTTGATTTTCTTTCGGGCAACGTTTTTGTGTTGTTCCAACAGAGAAAGCCATGCGAGTGTTTATATAGAGACGCGGAAGAGGCGTAAGAGAGCAGATCATTAATATAAAATTACACTAATTAATCTCTTTGTTAATTTATCCTTAATCCGAAACGATTATGAGATCTCTTCACATGGATTAAGGGTGAGGCCATTTTGAACGTAAACGTTAGTCAAGAAATACGGCAAATTTTATTATTATTCTTTTTCTACGGTCACTCATTTAAGTACGCATTTTTCTCAGCGAAAAACTCAATAGAAATGTAGAAATTATGATATATATATATATATATTCATATGTGTCTTTTGAAAGTTAACAAAGCAACAAAAAAACTATTTTGTCAAGGGCCAAAATAAATATGATTCTATCATTTCCCTTACAATAATTATATAGACACAGTAATAGATCGATTGCCAATTCTGCTGTTTAATTCTTAGGGTTCATCGCTGTTGACTTGTAAATTGTTCGCATCGGTTATATGCACGTATAAACATTTCTAGTGGTGGTCCTAAATCCAGATTATGATCTTGATTATGCACTATACGCGGGATACTGCAGTAAAAAAACATTTTTCTGAGATATTGTAGCAATAGAAATCTAATAACTCGAAATATATTTGTTTTCAATATAATATTTTTGAAACCCACATGCATGCATGATGCTACGTACTCTTTTTTTTTTATAACTATGATGCTACGTACTTGCTGCAGACTTTTTTTTTTATAAAAAAAATATTCATCATATCGAAACTTGTAACGAGAAATTGATTACGAAATATGGAATATACGAAATAAATGAAAACGCAAACAAAAATTATGTTTTTGAAAGAAATACAACCGCGTGATTATAGGGATGCAGATTTAAAAGTAATTAAAAAAACAAAGACAACGCAATAAAATTGGAGACTCTCCGTGATTTAAGTCATGTTCATGACGGATCGTGTGGGATTTTGTCGGGACGGATTCCAATAATATCATATGTTTTTTTCTTTTTATTTAAAGGAAAAACAATATTTTATTTAACATAATTAAAACTGGAATACCATTTTTATGCTATTGGAATGGGCCTAGCTCATATGATATGGTTTAAAATATAAATGTTTGGTACGAAGCCCATTTGGTCCATCTTCGGGCATTCTCTGCCACTTTACGAGAGAAAATACCACATTTTCCCAATATATTATATTTCACAACAATTCACATGTAAGTTTCAAATTGCACATTCATATTTATATCTGATACGCCAAGACGAAAATCACACTTCTCTAAGCCAATATATGTCACCCATATGCACATGTTACATCAAATCCAATAGTATTGGCATATTAACATATTTATGTTACCTCACATATTATATATTATATACTTCTCTCATTATATATATATATATATGCTTTATTATTATATTATATAAATATATGCATATATATTGAGAAGTAACATATATAAATATGTTAATTATGCCAATTAATGAGAACACGAGAGGACGATGAATCTGAAAGTATTTCTCCTTTATCTTCTGAGCCTGAAACTTTTCCACGACGAACAGAAAATCTATCTGATGCACTTCTTAAGTACATTCGCATTTCGCACCATCTATGCAATCCATGTCCTCATGCCACTCGCAATATATATATATATAAAGAAAACGGACCTTTTTCATAATATAATATATACAAACACATATATATAGTAGGTGAGTAAAAAATTCATAGGGAAAAATCCGACAATTTTAGTACGTGAAATTGAATCAGCGTTGCACTTGCAAACCTGAAGGAAAACATTAAACGAAATTAAAAAAAAAAGGGCACTATTAAGATCTTCACCCCCCAAATGTGAACTAATTAAGATTTGGTGTTGTACTAATTAATTAAGATTTCGTTCTTTATAGATTTGCCACCCAGAGACAGGATTACATTTAACATAATTAATACAAGATTTTGTTAGTTACTATTATAGCCTCATAAGATATTAAGATCTTCACCTGCCTGAACACATGCAAACAAATACACCATATATATTTATATACACACACGCACACGCACACACACACACACATATATATATGCGTGTGATAAAGTTCCCTAATCTATACACACACCACACACACACATATATATATATATATATATATACAATAATTTATTTATAGGCACACTGGAATTTTCTAATTACAGATGGAGCAAACAAAATAATGGAGTAAATGGAGCCCAGAGATTTTAGGTTCACATCAAAGAAAAAAGCAGCTCCTCAATTCCACTCAAAGAAAGTCCAATGATTTATAATTTCAACAAAAAAACTATTATTTTTCATCAAACAATTTTTGTATAACCCAATATAAGATTTAAAATAGACCCAGTTATATTCAGTGATCGCAAACTAGATAACCGTGATATCGAATATTAGCCGATAGATATATAAGAACAAACGTAATTAGTGATTAAAAGACCAATTCAAATAAAAGCATACATAGGAAAATGTTGTATCTTTTTGTGAGATTACGAAAATAATGGCTTGATATAAGTTACCAAATACATTGAAACACGTTTTTTTTGTTATAGTCAGAATCTCAACTATGCCCTTCGAACGCATTGGTTGAGTAAAAATCTCGCCCAAGTGCACCAGTCCGCGACACACATGTGAGGTAAATCAATCATAATTAACGGACGACAGGCGAGTAAACAAGTAATCGAACCCGCAACCTCTCGGATGATGGACAAAATACTAACCCTAGACAATTGATATTATAAGCAACTGTGAATCTTTTTTATTTTTCGCATTTTCCCATCTTTTAAAAACGAAGCGAAACTTGTGTCCAAAGTGCATCCAATAACACAATTTTAATTTGAAATCGGCCCACCTCTACTTTGTTAAGAAAGAGACAAGACATAAAGCAAACCAAAGAGGAGTTGTGGAAGCATAAACCAATTGGCCATCTCTTAGTGGAGAAGTAATCGTTACATACATACATACATACATACATACATACATACATACATACATACATACATACATACATACATACATACATACATACATACATACATACATACATACATACATACATACATACATACATACATACATACATACATACATACATACATACATACATACATACATACATACATACATACATACATACATACATACATACATACATACATACATGCATGCATGCATACATACCAAATAAATTTTCTACCTATCTCACACTAGTCGATCGCCACATTATAATAATCTTTTTTCACGTACAAATTACCTTATTCGTGATTGGATAATATGGATAACGTTAAAAAAATGTTTTGTATTTTGGTCTAACAACTATTCTTGGACCGAATGAGGTAATTTTGTTAGAAATATGGTGTTAAGTAAGATAATATGGTGTCGGAGAGTCGTTACCGATTTAATCATCGTGGTCCTTTCAAATTTCAATTACGTGCATGCGATTTTGCTAAAAACCTTTTAATCATACAACAAAAATAGAACAATAACATTTAGATCACGACACGTGACAAGACTCTTTAACTAACAAAAACTTTAGCAGGTTCATACTTTTTCATTATTTATAATATTTTACTATATTACTCGTCTTTTATTTGTTTTATTGCTCATTATATATTTTCACTTTAAATTATTTAATTAATTTAGGAAATCTTATTTTTACTTCCACCATGACAAAGCTGCTTAATATAATAAGAATTACATCTGATGTTTTCTCATAAATAATCTACTTATTTCTTTCCTTTTTTAAAAGTAAAACAAAAATTGTAGTATGTATTAGTTGCTATCATCATTGTAGCTATAGAGTATTCATTTCATCAAACATGCTCAGATTTTTTTTCCGAACCAAAATATCACTTAGGGAAAATCCCAAAATAATATCTGAATTTTTCAATTTTGATAAAATAAAACTTGAACTTTGTTTTTTAATCAAATAAAACCTGAACTTCATTTTTCAGTAAAAAATAAACCTGAACTTTATGATCTTTATCATTTTTAACCATGTTGCTGACGTGGCGTTCCGATATCGTGACACGTGGACGATGATGTGTCAAATACGGTCAAAATGTTGACTTGCCACGTAGAATGTCGGAACGCCACGTCAGCAATAGGGTTAAAAATGACAAAGATTATAAAGTTTAGATTTATTTTTTACTGAAAAATGAAGTTCAGATTTTATCCGATAAAAAACAAAATTCAGGTTTTATTTTGTCAAAATTGAGAAGTTCAAGTATTATTTTGGGATATTCTCTAAAATGTAATATACATTAATTACACAGTTTTGTAATATTTGGACTAGCTCTAACCATCTAATAAAAACTCAGAACTTCAACGTTGTATAATCTCTTACGGTTGTCTCAAGATATTATACCGTGGAGTGAAAATCTCAATACACAAATGTTTATTTATGTCAAAAACCTTGACCCCCCCCCCCAAAAAAAAAATATATATATATATAAATTAAAATATTTTTTTATTTCCTATGTGGCCACGGAAAGGGAAAAAAAAAGCAAGCGCACTCAACAACCCCTTGTATAAATACTCACTCATCACTACGTAAAAACCCTCAAGTCACCAAAGAGAAGAACAAAGAGAGGAGAAGTTTCTTTCTTGTAAGGCCTTCCCCCTTTCTTCATTTCCTCTGTTTTCTCGTATGAAAATTTCATTCAATTAAAAAAAAAACCCGATATTCTTTCTAAGTAGCGTTTTTAGAGTGAAACAATCTCGTAAGTTGAGAAAAAAAAACTCTCTTCCTCCTCCGTTTTGTACTTTTTTTTTGTTTCCGCCATGCAAATGGATACGTCTAAGCCCCAGAAGGTTAAAACGAGGAAGACAAAGGTGGTGGTGACGAGGAAATCAACGGCTCAGATTCTCTCGAGTTTGTTTTTTCGGACAATCGAGATAACCGTTGTCATCGTTACAGTGGCAAAACTCTTCAACCAGATCGTTGTCACGGTCGAGAATCATGGAGAACATTTCAAGGGTTTGTCCTCTGTACTCTCCAATCGTCATTTAGCGTTCATCACCGGAAACGCTATAGTCATCGCACTTTTAGCCAAATCCGGTCGGTTCCCATATCAAGAATCAAGAACGAGAAACGATTTTTACGAGGAGTTTGTTCGAGAGAGCAGGAGGGAAGAGGGGAACTCCTCGTGCGACCAGACGAGAAACAGAGTAAAGGGCACGACTGAAATCACCACAGGACAGAGCGTGGCTGTCGAAAAGCAGAGACAAGCCATGAGAGATAACGATGGAGGAGTAACTGAGAACACAGTCGAGAACAGACCCAGAAAGAACAGTGGTGAAAACCGGACAAGACGGAGGAAGAGTTACGCGAGAAACCGGTCGGAGAATTTGGAGCATGGAAAGATTTCTCGTCGAAAATTGAAGAGGTCGGAGACTGAGTGGTTTCTCGACAGTGTGGATTCGGAGGAGAGAACAAGAGATATGAGCGAAGAGATGAGTGACGATGAACTCCAATTCAAGATCGAGTCTTTCATCGCCAGGCAGAGAAGGAATCATCAAACGGATGAAGAGTTTTGTATTACGTAGGCAAAAAAAAAAAAGATGTATTAAATGTTTTTTTTATATATTTCATAAATTAGTATGCGCATATATGTGTGTGTATACATGTGAAATAATGCTTCAAAGTAGTTAGCACAACTTTTGACTCTGTTCCTTTTGTATAATTTTGGTGATTCTAGAAACTATCAACTATTTTTTGTGATATTTAAATATATAATATTTTTCGTGATATTTGAGTATTTTTCGTGATATTTATCCTCTGTACAAAGATCATTTGCACAAAACGTTACACATGCGTTAAATATTACACAAAATATCATTGAGATAGTGTTATACCTTTTTGACAATGATCAATCCGTTCACAAGAAGTTGGATTTTGGCTAAGTACTTTTCGTTGACCATCAACTCTCTGCAGTCAAGCATTCACTTCTTTCCTCTTCCATGAATTAATAAATTATCTATGAAGATATATATATATACTGATCATATATATAGTTGAACATATATATATATATATTTGTTTAATTATTGAACATATATATATACACTAATACGTTATATTTAATTCGATAAAGTTATCTCTTTTGCGAGTTAAAACTTATTATGTTCATCGCACACATTTTTCTCCCTTATTTATTTCTAATTCAAATATTTTATTACACGCCAAGAAGACGCAAACCGGAGAAAGGAAAACAGAGAAGGAAGAGTGGGAACCATCACACGCGAAATGACATATATAAAACGCCGTCGTATATATATACACGTACGGTACGTGCATGTGTTTTGTTACGCGTTCTAGCAGTTATTGTTCAGACAGAGACAATCGTATTGTCTGAAATAATGCTGGTCTTCCACGCACGTGCCGTAATCAGCGCCGTGATTTGTGACGCAATCTTGATTGCAATCCTCGTCCAAGCACGTGATTTGCAGAGTTTCGTATATTACACACGGCCCCGCCTCGGCCACCCTCATTTCTGCATCACACCATACATATATATTATATATATAAACATATCTTCCTTTATTATGTATTTTTATATAGAATGGTAAATTTAAAAACCATGCATGCACTATTCTACTATTACAGAAAAAAACAAAACTAATTTTCACGTGAATAATATGTATATACAGGGGCGGACCAACTCTTTACCGATGGGTTCACATGCCCCCATTGTTCTATTTAAAACAAAATAATTTCTTTACTAATTTTATATAATTTTAGACAAAATTATTATATGGCCTGTAAAAAAAATAAATTTACCATTATAAAATCATCGTTGCCCCCGATCATAAAATATTATGGGTCCGCTAGTGTATATATGTATGTACGGAACACTTACCTGTGTAAGAGAGGAGGAAGAAGAAGAGGCAGAGAAGAGCGATGGGAGTTCCAAACGACTTGGCCATTTGTTTTTTTTTCTTTGATTGGTGAATCCATGAGCGGACCAGATTGAGTGTATATATACAAGAAAATAATCAAAATTAAGCACAATATTTAATCATTAATTATAAGCATAGCTGTGATCACGTTCATCCATGCTTTTGTAATTGCTGCATGGCCAACTAATCGAAAATAAATAAAAAAACTAATCGAAATGTATATTTGAACAGTGTGCAGGTAATATATAATATGGTCAAGTGGCCAATTTGAAGTTATATTTAATGTTAAAGCATTTATATAACATGCTCCGTGACCAACTTGAAGTTCTATTTAATGTTAAAACATTTATATACAAATTAAACGAGGCAGGAAATCTATGATGGACCAAATGAATTATCTCTTTTTTGTTAAAATGAGAAAATGAATATGTGATTAGAGTAAAATAAGATTTGAGATATGATGGACAATAATAATGGATACAATATCATTATGTCAAATACTGTGTATCTGATTTGTTTCCATTGTATATATCTTTCATTTTTACTCCGTTTCTAAATTTTTTTATAAATATGTATTTCATTTTCATTGTAATATAACTAGAAGAAGAAGAGATGTAGCAATAAAAATAATTTCGTTCATTTTTATTTATCTTTTTTTTATTTAATTTCCGCAATTTTATATTTTTACATGGTATCAGAACAACGTTGCAATATGGACTATATGTTTGTTTTTCTAAATTTTTTTTTCGTTTTGGATGTTCATATATCCAAATCGTTCAAAGGAGAGTAAAAATCCAAATTCAAACGATGTGATATGACAAACAAAAGTCAAAACTAAAAACTCTAAAATCAAACAAGATGCTATGACAAAAAGAGTTAAAGATAGAACTTTAAAGTCGAAGTGATTTGAAAATGATCAATGCTATCTAAAAGAACAAAATTTGGTGTTTATGAATTTTGCCACAAACAATGAAAATGTCTGGGCGATTTATAACATTATCAATTCAAGATTGACTTTTTTCATTATTTCAAAGTCAATCTTGAGGGGAAATGTTAAAATGAAAAAATGAATATGTGATAAGAGTAAAATAAGATTTGAGATATGATGGAGAATAATAATGGATACAATATCATTATGTCAAATATTATGTATCTGATTTGTTTTCATTGTATCTATATTTCCTTTTTATTTCGTTTCTTAATTTTTCTATAAATATGTACTTCATTTTCATTACAACCAGAAAAATAAGAAATATAACAATAAAAGTAATTTTGTTCCTTTTTATTTGTCTTCTTTTTTATTTAATTTCCATAATTTTATATTTCTACACCTTTATATATTAAAAACATTATTTTTTTCCTACTGAATTTTTACTATCACATGAAATTGTGGTATATTTTTGTATTTCGAATAAAGGACCCGTAATCTATTAGGGGATTATGTGAAGTGGATATCGGATTTCTCACGGTTCTCTCCGACGCTCGTACGTGCAAGAAGAAGAAGACAGTCGGTTTTAACGAGTTCGGTTACCGAGTTTCCTCGGGCCTACATCTCGGCCGGACGGTGCCGGCGAATCCACTAGAGGCGGAAAGAAACAGTCGAGAAGAACAGACGGTGGCGCTCCACATCAATGATTGGAGGCTCACCGGGAAAGGAGACACAACACACACCGAGTTACAGAACTCACCTAGGGTCTTTGACCTTACCGTCTCGTGTTGCCGACCGCCGCCGCTCCTCCGCTTCGCCGGAAGAACCGCAACCCTTCGGATTGTCTCTCGATCGCTTCCTCTCTCGAACCTTCTCCCCTCTCGAGCACCGTGCCATTGCAACCCGATAATTAGTAGTCAATTAGGGTATTATCCCTAAAACACTCGAAACGCACAGCTTCGGAAAAGCCTCTCACGCAAAGAGAGGGTTTCTCTTTTTTCACCAAATGGGCCCTTAAGGCCCAACAGTCTCCACCTTGGTGGAGAAAGGGAAACCGAAAAAAAAATGAATCTAGTGGGGTTCGCCGTTTCCAGCACCGATCGACTTTCGTCGATCCCTCGACTTTCGTCGGAATTTAAAATACAACTTACCTGACTTACCTCACTTACCTGATGTCGGAGTTAGTCGCATGTCGCTGCCTTTGAACTTGATGAAGCTCCCGTCGATGACTCCTCGTGGCCTCGTCGCCTTATCCCGCCACCGATCAGCTCATCCAAACCTGAAACACTCGGTAAACGTGTTAGAACGTTCACCCCGATAAGACTCGAACCGTAGTCCTATCCCGCGTCGCCCGACCGGCGAACGCTACCCTCGGTTATATGACTCCCTAGACCGTCTAACCAATCCTCCTAGTAAAGTCCAAGACTATACCCGCTAGCTAACCCGAGGATTACACCCGACGTCTACCCGTCTCCTAAGTCTATCCTGACTTCTCCCGAGACTAACCTGAGTCATACTACCGAACCCGCTAGATACCTAGCCCGGATCCCCGTGAAGTCCATACTACCTATAGGTATACGACTTCTACCCTCGGACCCTAACCTGCCAACTAGAATTGTCTTACGGTTTTGTCCCGTGAAGACGCTCCTAGTCATCTACGATGCTCCACCGAGAATAAGAGACACGTGAGTGCACGTGCTCTTACTCCTCCGAGGTCAAAACGTCCTTCTACCTCGGACTCTCCCTACCTCGTCATCCGGGATCTACAAATCCTCCATGTAGAATCCCTACCTACTCACGGAACAACTCACTCCACCTGGTCCTTGGCCTACTCCTGCAACCCGATTTCTCGGGTTTTGTCCGAGACCCCTAGTCCTTCCACCATACCCCTTTCGGGGTATACCGAGCTAGACAATCTAACTCCATCATCCTAAGACGATATAACAAGAGTCTAAAACCGACCCTACCCGGAAGAGACTTAACCGACCCTAGGAGTGATGTAACATGACACGAGGGATGAGACCGAAACCCTAGAGGACTTAACCCTAGGTATATTTCTACCTAGCCGTGCTTAAACACGCTCTAACCCTA